AGCTTTATACTACACTATATCGAGCAGTATAATCAACTAGGTCCAGTTTATCTCATTCTACTTAAAGTCTAGGTAGACATTTGTTCCGAAAATGATCGGACGGACTGCCATGTGTTTTACCGGTATATGACAAAGTCTGAGTCTTCAGGTCATTTGGTTGACATTTTCTTGGTAATTGTACACTGATGTTCTTACAGGACTGCAAAATTAATACAGGTAGCAACATTTTGGCATCCAGTCAATGCTCACCCATTAGGACTTTGCCGCGAAGACAAATTTGGGTTTGGCTAACTTTGACCATTGTTGGCCACCACGTCAACTAAAGCACTGACTTATATCTATCTGCTTATCTTTTGATTGATTAAATGTGACATTCGAAATGATCATGATAAATGTGCATTTGATTCCAATGAACCGACTGCAAGGCTAAAGTGGGTTGCGGAACAAGTTTGTGTTAGCTTTTTTTAAAACAATCCCCACAACATCTCCCAATATTTGGGGAAATTTCGCCTTTGTTTACAATCATACATACTGAACGCTTATATCTTTATATGTTTATTGGTGCTATCTTACTCTCAATCTTAAAACTACGTCAGAGGTTATTGTTTCTAGCCTATATGAAAAAACTAATAAATAAAAATTCGCTCGCACTCCAGGATCGCTTAAGGATCAATTTTTATCAAGCTATTCCAAATCCTGATAAGGATTATAACCTGGAGTTGAACAAAGTCATCAAAAGTAGGATGATCTTCAATTGCAAATAATGTACCACTGGACATTCTATAAAGATCAAGTACATGACGTAGTATGGCGTTAAAAGGCATCAAAATTAACGACATACGAATGAAAACCAATTATACTAAGGTAAAAATTACCATTTCGAGAAATAAGCCCCTTCACAGAAAGCGTGGAACCGAATAGACAGTCGTTCGGCACACCACACGAAGGACGCACTATCAATAAGATATTCTCTCTAAAGGGCAAAAATAATAAGGTTACGTTCTCCGTCGAGGTCAGGAATACGGAACCAACTGAATTATATGTTCGTATTTTGTTAATATCTTGTTTTTTTTTCGAGTTGGTGAATGCTTCACCAGAATCGACTGTTTTGTAGTTTCTGAAAAGGTGTATTCTGAACAGATAACTGACATCAAACAAAGAACATTTCGTCAACTTTGAAGTAAGTACAACTTGTCAATCAATTTTTGGTACTTGTGAGAGACAGCCAGACTGGAACAAACAGACGATCAGGGCATGTTGCCAGAAAGCTAGATTTGCAACTCTCCCTGTAGGAAGTTTTTAAGGTCCAGTAAGGTTCAAGCGAGGAAACATAAACATCCTATATGTCGTTAAAGTTCAAACTAGAACATTCATCCTGAGCTCATCACAAACATGAATAGAATCTAGGATAAAGATTCCACTATATTGTTAGCAACTGCGCGTATAATGATACTGAACGATTCAAATTTGTTAAGTGCTACAAGCCATAAGCATTTTAAATGTGAAACGAGTGACTAGTAATTGAAATATGAAAATGCGGTATCACTGCTTACATAGAGCCCAACGCTCTCTGAATCCAGATGTGGACGTAGTAACAGTGGTATCCTCAAATTCACCTAATGTTTAATGTCCGTTCAGTTACCTGCATGTTGGTGAAAGTCACCCGGCCAACGTACCAAGTGCTTGTTAGCACTTGTCGCATCATTAGCATGCCTAAGTTGGAAGTATGGAAACCAATGCCAACGGAGTCAAAAGTTAAATATGGAAGTAAAATAGATGGATTACTTCGATATTTTGATATAAAATCAAACCTACGTTTGCTTCTTTTACATATTCATACTGGACGATAAAATGCGCCAAACCTTGGTGTGCACAAGTCACCAATAAACTAAAGTCTCGAAAATTTCATGACAGTGTGTTTCGAAGACAGTAACCTTCAATTCAGGTCCGATTGGCACTTTTCACACAAAAACGGCCCAAAGTACTCAGTAAGGTTACCAGTCGATCGCACCCCAACAGTAATAATCATTTGATAACAAGATCTCGTTGACGTGCAGTAGCGGTGAGCCTTTTGCGCTGAAATTCTAAGGAGGATATATGAACAAATGTGAATGACCTTCGGACGCTTACCGGAGTTCAGTATCACTGCTTCGAACTCAGCGTGGTGACTTTGTTGATTCACAGTTTTCTCTCTAATAACATCCAAATGGTATCTTGGTTTGCTCGTAACACTCGTTTTTTCCTCTCGTATTTGTGGTGCCTATATAGTGGTTTCTTAGGTGTGATTACTTACAAAAATGATACGGGAAAATTTTCATAACGCTTTTGATCGCCAGAGAATTCTTTTCTAAGAAATAACCCATATAAAACCCAATGCAGTTTGATGTCGCCTTAAACAATTTACTACAATTAGCCCAGTGCTCCCTGGTAGAATAGACATTATATCGATCGGTCGGGTCGACAGACACTGCCACGATATTTCCATGAAGCAAACTTTTCCTGACAAACATGGCATTAAATCGCGAAGGAGGGTTTTCTTACAAATCTTCCGTAAAAAGTGTTCTGTAGAAGGCTAAGTTCTCCAACCGTACGTTATCCTCGGCAACATAAATTGCGTGACTTCTATGGAAACGTCAATCAAAAACCGATGCAGTTGAACGCAAACGATGTTTGTCATTGAACTTCTTAGTTGTACATCCATCTTTCAGCCCAACGTAAGAGAATAAGAGGAGCATTTCTGGAATGAACCATTAGGATCTCATGTCTTAGCGTGTACCTCCCTTGTATTTTTTTATCGATCTTTCATTCAAACTTCAGGAATGAAATCCCCAGTTATGAGTCAGCCACGTGAAGCCTAAAGATGATACAGCTATATCAAAAATTAAAGATAATGGTTCTATGCTGTTAACTTCGTAAATTAAGCTTATGTGGAATCCCCGCGCAAGAACACTCGTTATAACTCGGTGCGTTATGCTTATCAGACGGTAGTTGTTTCGACAGCGTAGTATAACTGAACTCATTTTAAATAGAATTCTTTTTTAGGGTGAAATTTATGGCACATATGATATATGTAATATAAGTGAACCATTCGAGCAACTGACACACGTAGCAGAACTCCCTTTGAACAAGGCAATTTTCTACGGCGCATGTATTGATAAATATTTAAAAATGAATCTTATGTTGATAACTATGAACAGCGCTGCGATGTTAGTTGTTTTTAGTTTGACAGTAATAACAGAACACATTTGCTTTTCTGTAGTATATTAGTTTGATTTATGTAAGTTTGAATGTTCAATGTTTAAATTCTACACACAAAATAGGCTTGACTTGCGACCATACGTACCTTAGGCTAGATTGTGGTAATGTCAGAATTGCTGAAATCCTCCCTGGTATTATCCTTCGGATTGCTCTTCCCTGTGCTTGGATTGTAACCAGTTAACCGTATCTTTGCAAAAGGATGTGTCTCCACGACACATTATTGAAACACACTTTAATTTAATGTAGAAGGCTAACTACTGTCTGTGGCCACCTCTTGGCGTATATTTCGTGCTGACTTTTCCAGGTTACCCTGAATCAATAGCTCATCGTATCACGTTTGCCGGAGCAAGGCTGCTCAGTTTAATTTGAAATGCAGAACGGTTCTGGCGTTTTCAAAAACAAAATATCTCATCTGACAGAATACAACTAAACACGATTCTAGCAGAATGTGTTTTGTTTTGTACTGGTGGCCCAGTTGAAATTTTCTTAACAGATTTCCGAGGGAGAACACCATGATCGATAGATTCAGATGAGTTTCAGGTGATGTCACCAGATGCCCAGTTTAGTTCCCAGCTCTAATGATATCACTAGTGATGCGACGGAAAGCCAGTTTTGGGGAACTATGCCGTGTGTATGCCTGCTGTGATTATAGGAAACGCCGATGATAAGTCAAACCCCTCCAGCGGAAATGGGATGAGCCGCCCCAGCTGACAGTATAGTCGACCGGGTATAACATAATATTGGCATAACACATTACACATAACGTTCCCAGGAACTCTTCGACATACCACTTCCGATTTCGTTTTTTCTACACCCATTAAGTAGATCTGGTTGTCCAATTTCCAACAAACTCATATACCAAAAGAACAACATGATTTATCTCATCTCAGAGGGGTATGCATTTGCGAATTACACTGAGCATAACGGAAAATATTCAAGGAAATTTTTTATGGTATTTTCCAAACGAATGTGCCGCAAGGTCATTTTGTAAAAGCATTATACTATAGTATCTATAAAATCATTCAAAATGCATCATGTAGCGACAGGGTTGCAAACGTTTCACTGTTAGTCACTCAACACCACTCTGACATTGTCACCTCAGTCGGTCCTGAAACGTTTGCAAGTCAACTGCCAAGCTTGTCGAACAGATCAACAAGCTATCAGTGCACCCAAGTTGCCTACATTCCGCAATGTTGCCACACGAAACTGACTTCGTGTAGCACATTCATTTCACATATATCGTAAACCATAGATTTATGCGGGCCTACCCTTAACAGTAAGGTAGTCATCAACTTCATTAATTATACTACTATACAGTTCGCAAAGAGTGTTTTTAAAGTATTCCACGGGAAATGGATCCACACAGTTGCACACTGAACAAAGTTTTAGTTTATTTTTTAAGTCAAAATGATTTGAATTGTCTTCCAGCAGAGATTATTTGTAATCCCACAATAAATTAAAGCTTGCAATTTAATTTGTGCTACAAAGCAACTTGGGAGATATATTATAAACTGTCACAGCAAAGACAGATCCAAAACTCCAGCTGAGTGGAAAAACGTAGATGGTAATTAATGGGCTAATCAATCAATCAATCAAATTGCCCAGCTAAGCGAACAAACCAACGACCAGCTACGCTCTCTGAGCCACCAACATTTTACTCCATAGGACTAATTGTTAATTAAACGACACTTTGGTCACCTTTGTTTGGTTTTATTGATTGGCTGATATCCAGGTTGGGCCAAATGGCCGATCTGATGGTTCCTACAGAAAAGGAAGTGAGTTGAACAAATTGATTATCGTACCTCTGGATATAGGCAGCTTCTGCTTTCCAAAGTTGATTTTCTAAGCAGTAACGATAGAAGAAATAATCGTCCACCTGTAACAGCTGTCCGGTGCTTAGGTATCATTTTGGTCTATAAACAAGTGGGCAAAGATACGGCCAGGTTTATCGGGCCTAGACGGGAGCAGTGAAGATTTTAAGGTTAAGTTCGGAACACGGACCTTTCGGACAGTAAGTGCACACCTCAAGCTTTGCTGGACCGGCATGTCAGGCAATTCCTTTGAGAATCGCCCCACCTCCTAACTTGTACAGTTATATAATCAACTCTGGTTACTAACCTAGTGTCATTCTTCCGCTTACACTTGAAGAACCAACAAAATTATACTTGTCACGTTTTGCATCAGTTTTGTTTGTTCGCTTTTTCTGTGGTACAACATCAATGGAAAATAGCAGAAAATAGTTCTGCTCCCATTACATCACCTGTGACTGTTCTACTGTCTTCAGCAATCATTGTGTGCAGGTAGTCCATACTTCAGGTCTGTGCTCGTTACCTTTCAAATAAAGGAAAGTTTCAGAAACAAATACTTGGTCTATGTTGTCAAAATGCATGGGTTTAAAAATCGTTAGCGGTCTGCTGCTTGACCAATTATTGTCACATTTATAGAGAAGCTCCACCTTAGTTGTAGTTACATTAAAATCACACACCATCGCGATAATTGCACGCTAGCTGTAGCAGCCACGACCTTAACCTGTTGCCACGCTGACGGTCAACATGTGGGGCGGTCCATTCAAAAAAGATCTTTGCAATAGAAACCCAGAAATACCATAAGACAATCGCAGAATGAGAGCGACGTTTTTGTGTTTCATCACTTGTACAACCGGGAAACAATATCCAATTGGGACAAGATAATTTTGCTTGAAACTTTGATCTGAAGAACGCCTTAAATAAGCTTTATTGTGTTGTGATTTCCGGCGAAACATAGATGGGATGGTGAACACGATCGTAGAGATGCGTTGAAGGCATTTGTTATATATACCGGTTTGTTTAACAACAAGAATATTGCTGAATTATTTGAATCGGTGTGCGAACGTGATGGTCCTGTCGTTGAAAAGTCCGAAAGCAATCTTAAAGTTTTAGATATTCCAGTGACCTCTTGGGAGTCCAATAAATCAAGTAAGATTATTACATTTGCCTGATTGCAAACAATTTTGTACGGTCTATCTTTTTGCTCATGCACCTATTGTCAGAAAATTTATAAGTAAATCAGATGGCTTGATACCTGCCCATCTGATTAGTCTCCTGAGTGAGGGTTTGCTAACACCTTAAATTATTTAGCTAGTCATATACTCGTTTAGCAGTAGGAATCATGACTTTCGGATTTTTCAAAATAATTCGTTTCAACGGACGCATAAAAATGATTTCTAGTTTAGCCTTCTTGAAGGCGAGAAGCGTAATCACCGTACGACTCATTGAAGGTGGACTGATGATCGCCATTAGCATTAAACATAGCCACTGTTAAGTGTAATTCTCTCCATTAGCATTTTATCCACTTGACGGAAAGCTCAAAATTGAGAAAACGGATCAGCTTAGGCGTGAAACGTCCGCCTCAGACCGTAATGGGGATTTAAACTTATGTTTACGGCTGGATGATCCGATAAGAAGCACGTGTTGGGAACAGACTGTCTGGCTTGCTCAAAATCTGCGCAGATTCCTTGTTGAAGAACTTTATGGAACAACTGAGGCGACGGAAAAAAGGACGCAAAATTTTATTTCACTGTAAAGGAATTTCAATGAAACAAATCGATTCACTTTGGACAAATTTCTTCCTTGCGGTTTTGCATAAGGTTTTCTGAATATCACTAATTCAATGCATATCACGGCACTTGAAGAAGGAAAGTTTTACTTGATAATGTTTCAGGAACGTTGCATCAAAGGACGAGAATATACATTTCTGTACAGTCATTGTTAAAAGCACTATCTACGTCATTCACGAAATTTGATGTGCAGTAGATTTTTTAAAGGAAGCATTTGAAGTCATAAATACCTTTCTAGCATAGGGTATTAACATAAGAAGATCAGCGACCCCATTAGCATACCATTACTGCCATTGATAAAATCGGGAGAAACGGTACTTCTTAACATACTGCAGCAGAAATGTCGTTTGTTGGTTTACGACTCGATCAAATGTTTCACATGCAATTTTTGATATCCTGGTTAAGTTGCCTCAAAATCGGTTTCGACGAACTTTTCAATTTAACTTTTCAAATGTAACGTTCATTGTAGGTTCCTATAGCCAAGACCAAATAGCAAGCAAAAAATTCCTTCATTGAATTCTACCCGTTTGTCATTGACATGTTGAAATACACAAGATGCGTGTGGACCAGGTTGCACGTTTGAATGCTAATCCCTCAGAACCAAAAATCACGGTCACTATATATATATATATATATATATATAGAAATCACTGACGATATTAATATATTGATAGCAGTNCACTAACATTGATGCGTGCGGTATGGGCTAATGTGAATATTCAACTTACTTATCTAAAGCTCACCACTGACGACGTATTACAAATTGAAAATGGTTACTCAGAACGTTGAATTTTAGAATAACCAATGGTGAAACGTTTATGATGAGACCTTTGGGAATTTACATAGATAACAATTTTACAGATTGGGCTTACGTAAGGCCTATTGTAGGAGTGTGTATTGCATTATTTTAATTTTTTATATGCTATTGGCGATAATCAAATATGGTCACTTTTGCTCTTAATGACATTAAGCACAAATAGGGAATTTTGAGACCTAGTGTGGTATAGATTTAGATAGAATAAAGTAATGTCTAGTGATTACGTGAACCAAATCAAAGAATCACTTGATATAGTGAAAACGTCCTAATGGACAAAGACTTAGTCATTTGAAACTAGATAGATTTGCTGGTGTGTTACCTCTAGGCCGACGAATTATATTTATTTGATGGATTTCTTTTGGGTGAATATCCCCAATTCCAGTCGCTTTCCGATAAAATGGACTACTTAAAAAGAGTTGAAGAACACTGAGTGACCGAAACCAAAAGCCTAACAAAATGATAGGCTCTGCAGAAAAACGATTACAGCTGTACGTCTTTGGATTTACGGTTTGTTTAATGTTTGCTAGCTTGATGTTTTTTCATGCGGGTGTTGTTAGTTGTTAGAAAAGCTTGTATATCAATCACTGCTTTGTAAAGCCTTTATTCGCCGTATAGTTCACGGTGGCATTTTGATAACATCAAAACCCGACCACTGTCTGACATGCACGGAAAAACTGGGTTGTTAAAAACCTCACTGGACGTCTGCGCGTTTGCAAACTGCGTTGCCCCAGCCACATTTTTACGCCGTCCAAAAGACAAGCAAGATTTTATTTGCATGGATTTGCGTTCTATTAGATTTCTACGGAGGTTACAAGGCCAGAAGCAGTTCAGCAGTAACGCACCTAAGAGTTGCAGACTTATGAGTTCAGCAAAAGTTTCCGGTGAATTCAAGATGTTCGTGGAGAATTGGTTTTAAAAGTCTGATCGATGAAGCGACCCTCTTCAGCTAAATTCTTAGGTCAGATGGTCGTTGGCTCGTTCGCTGAGCTGGGCAATTTGGTTGCAAACGTTTCATCACCAATCGAGGTGACATCATCAGTGCGTAGTTGTGCGTAGCGGTGGGTTAGTGGTTAGGCACAACCACTAACCCACCGCTGCGCACAACTACGCACTGATGATGTCACCTCGATTGGTGATGAAACGTTTGCAACCAAATTGCCCAGCTCAGCGAACGAGCCAACGACCATCTGACCTAAGAATTTAGCTGAAGAGGGTCGCTTCATCGATCAGACTTTTAAAACCAATTCTCCACGAACATCTTGAATTCACCGGAAACTTTTGCTGAACTCATAAGTCTGCAACTCTTAGGTGCGTTACTGCTGAACTGCTTCTGGCCTTGTAACCTCCGTAGAAATCTAATAGAACGCAAATCCATGCAAATAAAATCTTGCTTGTCTTTTGGACGGCGTAAAAATGTGGCTGGGGCAACGCAGTTTGCAAACGCGCAGACGTCCAGTGAGGTTTTTAACAACCCAGTTTTTCCGTGCATGTCAGACAGTGGTCGGGTTTTGATGTTATCAAAATGCCACCGTGAACTATACGGCGAATAAAGGCTTTACAAAGCAGTGATTGATATACAAGCTTTTCTAACAACTAACAACACCCGCATGAAAAAACATCAAGCTAGCAAACATTAAACAAACCGTAAATCCAAAGACGTACAGCTGTAATCGTTTTTCTGCAGAGCCTATCATTTTGTTAGGCTTTTGGTTTCGGTCACTCAGTGTTCTTCAACTCTTTTTAAGTAGTCCATTTTATCGGAAAGCGACTGGAATTGGGGATATTCACCCAAAAGAAATCCATCAAATAAATATAATTCGTCGGCCTAGAGGTAACACACCAGCAAATCTATCTAGTTTCAAATGACTAAGTCTTTGTCCATTAGGACGTTTTCACTATATCAAGTGATTCTTTGATTTGGTTCACGTAATCACTAGACATTACTTTATTCTATCTAAATCTATACCACACTAGGTCTCAAAATTCCCTATTTGTGCTTAATGTCATTAAGAGCAAAAGTGACCATATTTGATTATCGCCAATAGCATATAAAAAATTAAAATAATGCAATACACACTCCTACAATATGACGTTTCACTCATGGCTGCTTAAACTTCCTGTGTTTGGACATCGCGTACTTCTCAAAATGTTGGCCTTGAGCCCAATGGCAGGTCCCCGCAAATCGGGCTTTGCCCGGATAAAATTTCGTCTCATAGTATGGAACCTCCCCAGTCTATAGCTTGGTTAATGCCTGCCTTTAGACATACTTTCAAGCTTACGACCAAATTATGCAGGTATATGTTTTTCGCAAGTCGATGGATACAAATCAAAATTCAGAAACAAATTTGACCAAAAGTCATACTACCTCCGTCTCAGCCAGCTCAACTCTATTTAAACTTTGGTGACCTAATGCTTTTGACACCACTGCGGTTCCGTAATACCTAGTTAGCTGAAATGAAATCATTATCGGACTGCTAACAAACGTATTTATTGTTGAACCTTCTTCCAATGTTCAAAACACACTATCACACCTACTGATTATTTCCTAGAATTGACCAAATATAATCCAAATCCCTACTGTGTGTTTGGTTCACTACCCAATTATTTAGCTTTCTATTCGATTAGCTGAATATTTGTACCTTCATAGGGTTATTTGGTAAGAAGGCAAAAGATTGTGAGGAACAAAATCCGAAACAACAAAACTGTGGCATAATTTGACACATCTTATACAACATCTATGGATAATTTTCAGTTTCAGTAAAATAACGCAAAACATACGTCATAATTCCTGCGTTCTCGACTTCTCACACACGTTACAATCTCTGTGTTATTATAACTGTACTTCGCTACATCTACGACTACGTTTTGAGCATTTGCTTCTTTACATTATTTTTGCGATGCATTTTCTCACATAAAAAACAGTTGCCGCACTGGCATCAGATTTGTCAGAAATTCTTTCTTCTAGTGAAAATAAGGGGCTGTATGCTTCATGCAACATTCCGGCGATAAACAGAACATTATCAGCTTCCAATTGAAGCCCAGTACATATCTAATGGCAACCAATCGATAACTGGTTTATTTGCAGCCGTTTTTTGCAGAACGAAGCATCAACACATGTCTGCTTTACAGCAGATTTCAACTTATTTTTTAGTAGCCTATTTGCTTATGAGAATCGCCATGCTCATTTCGTGACTCAGCTTTCAAGGTTGAGGATTATGTCGCGTGTACGACATCGCAAAAACTATCCAAGCCATTTGCCAAATTGTGTAAGCCACTTGTATTCCTAATTTAGGCACATCAGGCCAAAACACACCAAACACCAACCGCTTGTTAATCATAAAGAATCTTCAACATGTCGTTTACATGTCCAGGGCGGATTTGGTAAATTGAGTGATTAAATGATAAAATGAAAATGCCATTATTTAAGATGGTATTGCATTAAGTAAGGCCGAAAGCAAATGTGTTGCTTGTAATCGCTTAGCCCTGAGACCAGCTGTGTTTTCTGGAATGGATAACAACTCAAACGCAAACCAGGTGCGAGCAGCATCTCATGATTTTTGGAGACCATGAGATTTTCTAGTCTCTTCTCTGGTTGTCCATGATGTAACTCAGCCCAATGTGGTCTCTGTCTGAGCTGAGTTTGGAAAAATACACTTCTAAACAGAAATTATAGCTAAAGTATTCATTTATCTATTTTTTATTTGCGTAAAAATCGCACCAGGTAAGGATTGGACATCGCTGAACATTAAATCACATTTGCTATTTGCTGAAGTCAGCCCTGAATCAAGTACCAGCCAAACACTGCAAGAAATTGTGACAAGCATTAAATTGTTTCTAGTCTACACTTCTCATTTCTAAACAAAACCTAACCAGACTAAATGACGGAATAACTTTGGTCTATCCGTCAGTTATGTACACTCAAAGGTCGATAATTTATTTGAATGCAACTTGCGTGTCTGATAAAGTTATTTACCTGATTAGGTTTTAGTCATGCAAGGCTAATAATATCCTAGCTACGTTAACCGGGACAACAGTGTATCATTCTTAGTTGAAAAATAACCCTAGGAAATTTTTAACGCACTCCTGGATTGCTTGGAAAATGTGACACCCCAGCGATATTCTTGAGCTTATTTCAACGGTTCAGGGCAAGCTCAGTTACACCAATTCAAGGATGGTGAAAGTACAAATCCAAACAGCACGTTAGTAGACATTTTAGTTTCGAGTCCGAGGGTAGTCTTATTATGGAGAGGAAAAATCTACGGGGCATCAGTTATTGCAAATTTCCAGCTGCCATTTTTCCATTCTGCACTTCAGTACTTGGATTTGTTAGGATTCGGAAACTAGGAAAATGACACTGAGGTTCTTTGGAATTAAATGCATGAAACACAGCAGCCAACACTTTTTATATATGTGCAGCTGCCGGGTTAGTTTTTACTAACAGGTTTTTAAACCCTGAAAAAATATCTAGATAGGCACATATTTTCACCCGAAAGTTGGAAACGAATATCTTTCTGCATATGTTGTTTACTGATGGGAAGAATTCAAATGGATTTCGTACGACAAAGTAGTCTGTGGTGCTGCATGCACCTGCAATTATTTTTTTGGTCCGAACTAACGAAACAGTACCGTCAGAGATTATAAAAGTAATCATTCTGAATGAGGGTCCAAAAACTGGAAAACCGAACAACTCCACGTGGTCAGCGATCAGCCAGTAGACGTAGGTAAAAACCTTCATGCATAAAGTCGGACTAAATATATTTTCGGCTAAAAAATAAAGGGGTAAAGAATAAATTGGCGAAAATGTGACCGAGATATTACCTGAGACTGATTAAAATAAAGAGCGTTATGAAATTTCTAAACCAAAATACGTATTGTCACTAAAAGCTTGAATAAGGCTAATAATGAATAACACACCAGTGGAGGCGTGAAAATATTTATAGATACACAACCAAGTGTTTGCGTTTTCAGAGCACCAGAGCCAGTTTGGAAGCCATTAATAATTGTAAATATCTTAGATTACTGAAAGACACATTCCCTGCCATGCACAGCAGTCGGTTAAAAGTTAACATAATCGATCCAAAAAGTATGAATTAGAGCCTTATGGACGACCACAACGTTGGAAGAACGATAAACAGCAATTTTCCAGTTGCAAGGTAGTAAGGCCTCCAAAAATAGTGGGTTACATATTGCGCTAGCCAAAAGTTGTGAATAATGACTGCTCCACAAACTTATCTGCTTAATGCCATACGCAATAGAAACTGAATGTATTCCACAGGACTCAATGGGTACTAAAATTGTATCCCCTTAAAGATGAGAAAGGAAGAAGATAGGGCACAAACAATTAACATGGAAGCAGCTAACTTCTTGACGCCAGAAAAATTCTGGTCTGTATTTTAGTAAACTGCACGAAGATTGTCAATTTAAATAAATTCGTTTTATGTTTACAATGCGGACATTGTGGCACTGAGTTAATTTTCTGAATCACATGGACGTAAAAGGCAAAGCGCAAACGCAACAACCGACCATATATCCTCCGGAAAGACCTCGAGGAGACATTTTTGTCGATAGACAGAATCACTCTGGAATGTTCTTCGTATGATGGGCTTCCCAAATTTATCGACACTTTTCAATGAAGGCCCGTTTCTTGCTCCTGTATCATTAAAAAGAAAATAAAGCAAAGTTGTTTTTATCTGATAACTTATTTTCTCATGTATTTGAGCAAAATATGGGGGTTACTTCCCCAAAATTGAAAAACGATTTGATTATTCAGTGTCATTTAGATAATCGTTTATTCATTCATCCTTCTAGCCGGTGGAATACTAGTAAAATTGTTCAATGTTGCTATCAGCGAAAGTCTTGCTCCATTGGCATATTCCGAAATCCAACTGAAGCATTTAACGGCATCATTCACGTCAGTGACATTCCGTCGAGCATACAATATACATGCCAATTTTTGTGAACAAACTGATTCTGGGAAACAATACAACTTTCCAAACACGGAGGTGAATGGGAATGTGATAATAGTTTATACAATACTTCCAGCAGTTACAAACATCTAAGGTTGGTTTTACGCTTGAGAGAATTCAAAAACATGCTTGAACATGTGAGTAGACACGAAAAGCGCATTGCATCGCTTTATCGTATAGGCGTGCTACTTACACTTTTTGTACAATAGAGAGACACCAAATGCA